ACACACACACACACACACACACACACACACACACACACACACACACAAAAGAATTCTGGGAACCAATAATTGAATCAAGAATTTTAAATTTTTTGAAATTCCACCGGGGACGAACAAGATTCCGGTGACCAATTGAGCAATTTGTATGGGTAAAATCCAGCTGAAAAAATAGGGTTTTATCTGACAGAATAACCTGAATTTTCCTGAATTCTTTTTTACTGTTCAATGATCTAACATCTTAAGATCTTGATATATATATAGTTAAATCTTGAAATATGTACAATTTTCATATATTATAACTTTTTTTGTCCATATGTCAATGCGTCGGCTATATTCAATCATAAATTCCAACAACTTATATACGAACGTCATCGTATATGATTAAGAATTCGATAGGCTTAATCATAGCTAGTGATCTAGATTCTTATTTTTTTCCAAAATGCTTTTAAATTTTGAAAGAGAAATCATATTCATCACCATTACAATGTCTTGACGTATGCTATGATTGATATGTTCCAACTTCTAAAATTTTCGAAATCTTATTAATATATTTATATATATAATATCATATCACACGCATAAGTCTTTACATATTTTATTATGTGTACGTACTATGTATGTGTACATGTGTTATGTGTATATATATGTATATAAGAAAATCATTAACTTTATTGCTAAGTAATTTCCATCTATAGAAAAGTAGGATCTTGTTCATTGTTGAATATAGATTCGTTGAGTGTTGTACTGATTGATACCACTTTCAATTTTTTGTTTTGGTCACTTAAATTTGTTGTTTGCAACAGTTACAATATTATGTTTTTGGTATATAATTAATATTAAAATGTGATTTAGTGTGAATGAACGAAAATAACAATTGAAACACGAAAATCAGGTGGATCGGAGATACAACCACTACTGTGAACAAATGCAAATGGTGGTGAATTCGTTCGACATGGTAATGGGTTTTGGGGCTGCAGTCCCATACACAGCACTAGCACAAAAGGCAATGTCACGCCATTTTCGATGTCTAAAAGATGCAATTTCAGCTCAATTGAAGAATAGTTGTGAATTATTAGGCGAAAAAGATGTGGGTTCTTCTGGGGTGACAAAAGGTGAGACTCCAAGGCTTAAAATGTTGGAACAAAGCTTAAGACAACAAAGAGCATTCCATCAAATGGGAATGATGGAGCCCGAAGCATGGAGACCTCAAAGAGGTTTACCTGAACGCTCTGTAAACATTTTAAGAGCTTGGCTTTTTGAGCACTTTTTACACCCGTAAGTACTTAATTACTACGTACTATACTATATACTCTTCTTCTTTCTTCTTCTCTTTTACTAATGAATTACGTACATATGCGTTTCATGTTGGATCTTGGTTATCAAGATTCAGGCTTTATGAAAAAGAAATGGTGGAAAAAATTAGAAAATTAATCAATGATGAAATCATAGATAAGAGAGTGTGGTTTAAAAATAGCAAGGGATGTGTCATGTGTGTGTCTGTGTGTTGGGAAAGCTTTTATGATTGAGAGCGATTAAAGAAAGAAAAGATAAAAAAGCATGAGTATTCTGTCTCTCTTATGATAAAGCTGATAAAGTTGGTGTTTCATTATATGTTTCACTCGATTATTCTTTCTTTTAATCCGCTAAGAACCTGCTATATATATATCATTGACCCTTTCACTTACGTAAAAACACCATTTTCAACACACGTAAGTTATATAATGATGGGCCGAAAAGTTTTTTCCAAGGTGGATGCTGCAACTGGAAGGAATTGGATTAGTCGACGTTTTGATTGATTTAGAAGACAGTTTTTGAGGTTTCTTTTGTTAAACTTTACATCAAGAAAATGACAAATGATGTAAAGTTTAGTGACTTTGATAGAACCACATGAGTATCGTATATAGTAAAATAGTATTTTCATGTGAGTTATGTGTGAGGTACAATTACGACTGATGATACGTGCATGATCACAGAATCTAATGGGGTGATATATATATATGTATATCTTGTGTGTGTTATAATGTGTGAGAGAGAAATCTAGCTATAGATTGTACAGAATTGTCTTACGTCCATGCAAGATATATATATTTATATAATCCAAAAAGTAAATGAAAGAGGGGATCAGTAATCAGTAAACAAATGATATCTGTACTTAATTAGGTTATAAAATTCGGTATATTATATATATGAATCTAAATGCATTTAATTGAAGTAGGGATGCATCATATCCTGTCGTTTTAATTGGACAAAAATCGTTCTCAGGTATCCAAGCGATGCCGATAAACACTTGTTAGCTCGACAGACTGGCCTCTCCAGAAATCAGGTTCATTCGTGCTCTCTCTCTCTCTCTCTCTCTCTCTCTCTCATATGTACGTATGAATTATATATTATGTTATAAGAAAAATAATGCACACATGTCTGTATTTATGTGAGTTCTGAGCTTTCGTTTTCACGTGAAAATGAAGGAAAAAGAAAAGTTTCGACGGGATATTGCATGATTCTTGAGTTTTTCCATTCTTTTTTCGACTTCATTGAATATTTTTACAAAACAATCATGATTTATATAAAATTTATGAGGTGTGAAAACGAGAACGATGTAATTTTTTCACTTCAGAGGTTTCTCTCTTTACCCCCACCTGCACACTGGAAGAAGTAATAAATAAAATTGTGTACATGAAATATAGAAGCAGTTGTAGGTCTACTTTCTCGTGCTTTCTTTGTCTTTAATCATTTCCTCTCTCTCTCTCTCTCTCTCTCTCTCTCTCTCTCTCTCTCTCTCTCTCTCTCTCTCTCTCTCTC